AAAAGGCCTTGGTCGGGCTTCTAGAATGGCAACTAAAAACCAGATGATGCGCACTTAATATGCCAAATGACACTAATGATGAAAGAGGAAACACTCTGTTCAATGACCCGGAGCCATAATGTCGTCCCGCAGCTCCATATCGGATAATCCCAGTGTTCGATTGCACCATATGCGCCCAGCTGGACGCTTCTCCGCGCAGTTGCGGTGGAAGTACTGTGAAATGGTTTGTCCCCCAAGCTTTCGAGTTCCAGAAACAATAAGGCACCAACGTGAGGGTGTGCAGGTTACATTCTCCAGGAGGTACTTGGTACACCATGGTTCGTCTGGAAAATGGCACCGGAATACAGACTCTTGCTGACCTTTCAACAGCAAACCGCTTCAAACACAAAAGCAGCTGTTCAAAGAAAACCTCATGAATGCCAAACTCTCGAAATGCATTTCTGTAGACCTTCTCGCCTCGACCCATGGTGCAACGGTAACACCTCCCCTGTCCCGATGGCCATATGCTTTGTTGGGGCGGATAAAGGAGGCAAAATCTAAGTCCGGAAAACATCGGGCGCCTACCTGGGCGAGTTCAATGAAAATGTGTATGTATGTATATGTATGTCTGTATACATGTGTAGATGTATAAACGACTTCAAAAGAATCCGGTCTCCAAGTTGTGCCTTCGGTGGTTTGCCAAATCTACTGAAGACACACCAACCAACACCGTAAAGCTAAACCCTAAACCCCTGAACTGAATCCCCACCTCGATCTTGAAACCATCTGACACCAGCGAGATGTATGTTCTCTGACGCCGTCTTTGGGTACATCAGCAGTAAAATGTGCGCGGGACCAGTCCTGATAAACCGTCCCTCCCGCTGCAAACGGTCATATGCCAGCAAGACTAGCAATAACAGTAACAAGTATAACTGCATGATAACTCTAACAACAGTAATACATAAACGTACACAACAGAAACTACAACGATGGATGGATGTGTTGAGGTGTTTTTACACAACCACCTATCTTTACTGGTGGTTACTAAGGAATAAGTGAAAATAATCTCTGTGTAATCCCAATAATATGTTCTCCCGTATTCTCTACTCTAAACCCTAAACCATAGTCCTTCGACCCTAAGCCCTAAACCCGAAACTCTATATGAAGTACTGTCTAAACTCCTAGTATCCCCCTTAATAAGCCCTATAGTAGTCCCCTATATAATCCCCTATATAACCCCTTTTAAGGAGTTTAGACTATGGCTCATATGACACTTTATTCCTTACTGCCCCTCAGTAAGTATCATGACAGCCTGAACCTTGGGATGCAAACCATGTTTAGGGTTTAGGGTTTAGGGTTTAGGGTTTAGTTGGGATTTAGGTCGCATTACTGAGCTGGGTGGTACTTTCAAGGCTCCCAAAGTCATTTATAAATAGGGTCCCTCATACCACATGGGGGGGAATGGTGCTTTTCCCAAAATGCCGACTGATGAATGTACTGTCGCACGCCATGTGCCTTGTTCAGTGTTTCAAGATAGTGTCGGTGTGCACACTTGCTCCTGCGTTCCTTGTCAACCCAGCTTCACATTTTTTGCTACTTTTACTCTCATTGTTCTTATGGGTGGTTGTCAAAACTATGGTCCCCTGTTGGGTACCCTAGATATTAGGTGCCGTAGTATAATAGGGATCCGAAAAGGGACCATAATTTCGTCAACCACCCTTATCACTATCAGTACCTGCAAGTCCTTTTCGACGTAGATGCTTCCAACGGTGGATGAACCAGGGCTTCGCCGACACAAGCTGGTTTAAGCCTGAAATAGATTAGCACCCAAAGGCCACCTGGGATCTTCAGTAACCTAACCCAGACCCCTGATTAAGAAACCCCCTCCCGTTAATAGGAATTATCATAGGGATCCTAATATCTAGGCCCTTAAAAGGAGGGGGTTGATTAATCATGGGTCTACATTAGCAAAAAAAAAAAAAGGACGTTTTTGTTGCACGACCGTGCTTTACTAGAAATGCCAGAAAATGGAAAAGGTATCTACTGTAGGTGCCTAGACAGCTATGAAGAAATTTTGAAGTCTATTCGAGCTGCCCTTTACGAATACGACATGCATATACAGAGTATGGGACCATAATATTGGTCGTTATTTGGGGTCTATACTGGGGTCCTCCTGTTTTTGGAAACTACCACTTGGGCCCTAAACCCCTAAACCCTAAACCCTAACCCCTAAACCCTAAACCCTATTAGTACTGCAGGACCTAGCCACAACTCAGAAGCGAAGCCACAACGAAATGTTTCCGCTGCAACCAAGCCATGGCATTGACACACTTAGGGCTACGGTTTAGGGTTTAGGGTTTAGGGTTTAGGGCTTAGGGCTTGGGGTTTAGGGTGTAGGGTTTAGGGTTTAGGGTTTAGGACTTGGGGTTTGGCTCCAAACATTTGGTGTGGCCTTACCAATATTTCCTTACTAGTATTATGACAGTAGTATTTTGACACCACTTGTACTCATGTACCATTGTTACTTTTTTTACTCACAAATCAGGGACCGCATCATATGTCCCCACATCCGCAGCCCCCAAAGGGATGCCAAATGTTCCGAACCCACTGTTTGAGGTAAAAATGCATGTTTTTGGGCGACCTAAGGATACATCCAGGGTAGGACAGAACGCGGCACAAGCTAGGACAAAATATGGGGTCCCATCCAATTACCTATATCATCTTAAAGTCTGATGAGGTACTCTATAACCTACAACCTTCATCTACAAGGCACAGAGGACCATACTTTTTGTATTCACTTTGGCTTCTACAGTTCACGGACATGAAACCTCGCAACTCCTACTTTTGAATCCTGCTGCGGATCGCGCGCATCCCGTCCCAGCCAATGCAGGACCGACCCTAAACCCTGAACCCTAGGGTGAACCACGGTTCAAGGTTTGGGTTTTAGGGTTTACGTTCAGGGTTTAGGATTTAAGACTTGCCCAACACCATGGCAGGCAAGCATCGTGAAAAATCATGAGAAGCAAGGGATCAGAGTCTGTCCAGAATAAAGCAAGGCTTTGAAATGTAGCCCCGCAAACAAGCAGAATGGATTCCCCTAAGCAACCACCTCAAACACTTTTACCCCTAAACCCTGGGGGGAGGGGGTCAGGCAAAGCATTAGAGTTATGTTTGACACTGATACAGTACCAGCACTAGTCTCTGAGCCGGAGCAGAGATTAGAAGGAACTGCTGAGCCTTGGAAGCCATTCTATTATGGTACCCAATAATATAGGGTTTAGGGCCCTATAATGGAGAATCAAATGGAAAAGAAAATGGAAAATGAAATGGAAACTGGGGTAGAATTCTAGACTGAACACGTAGCGGACCCTGGAAACAAACTTGTCATTCAAAGAGATGCCCATGCAAAGCGGGTCAAACATTTGAACCGAAAGCTTGAGAAAGGATAGAGAAAGACTCAATCCTTAAGACGACGAAACTTCTCCCGAAACAATGCCTATTATTCCTCGTTTTTTTTCAAATGAGGAAACTCATCTCAAACTCTCTGACACCCAGATGCAAAATTCTGGAAGGCCCCTCAGGGAACCTTAATTACCAAACGCTGCGCCCTGAGCCTAACTTGTTGGCCACAGCCTCGAAAGCTATCTCCTTAGGGCTTGAGGTTTAGAATGCTCTCCACAATGCTCTATGTGCAGTCCCTCCTCAACCGAAGCACGATTCTTGGCACAGCCAACAGCCACATCAGTGAGGCTCCCACACCAAAATCCTAAGCCAAAAACCTCAGCCAGCACCCTGCAAACCCCCAGAAAGCATTGTGGTTTCATGACGGCTCCCTTTTTGGGAGCAACCAAATGTGCAAGCTTGGAGGCTACCAAAAGCTCTAAGTTGGCGCTGGCATTTCCTCAGGACTTCTTGGGGTTATTTTGGGGATATATTGAGGCTACAGGAAAAGCAAATGGAAGCTACTATAATGGGTTAAATTATAGGGTTGGGGATTAGGGATAGGTCTTTGAAGGTTTCGAATTTAGTGAGTGTAGGGCTTAAGACTTTTTAGGGCTCAGGAGTTGGCAGCCCCTAAACCCTACAGCCTACATCTTAGAGTGTAGGGTTGAGGCTTTAAGGGCTTCGGGCCTGAGAGGCTTACGGCTTACAGTCTCCTACCAAGAGACTTTTCGAAGCTCTAGAAGGATTTCCTGAGGACTTGATAGGATTTGCGGGTTTAGGGTCTTTAGGGTTCAGGACTCTTGGCGTTCAATTCAAGGTTGGCGAACCTTTGACAGAGCGTGAACCCTAAACCCTACACCCTAATCCTTAAACCCTAAACCCCTAAACCCTAAACCCTAAACCCTAAAACCCTAAACCCTAAACCCTAAAACCCTACACCCTAAAACCAGGAGGTGTCAAGTTCAGGGCCTGGGGCCAGGGCCCAGAACTTACGGCTCACGAGTCTCCTACGATGAGAGGGTCAAAAGTTCTAGAAGAAATGGGGGTTTCCCAAAATTAGGGGTACCTTTTTGGGGGTCCCAATAATAAGGATTATCGTATTTTGGGGTCTATATTGGGGTCCCCTTATTTTGGGAAACTACCACATGTTGCCACCGGACAGGACTTGTTGGGGTGGGTTTAGGGTTTGGCTTGTGGCTAAAAACTTTTGGCTCAGGATTTTTCTAGGGTGTAGAGTTTGAGGCTTAGGGCTTTGGGGTCTTGGAGCTTGCAGCATAGCATCCCCATACAGAAAAAGTTCTCGGAAGTTGTGAAAGGCAAACTACTTGGGCCTGCTTTTCAGCATCTAGGGCTCAAACTTCAGCGGTTTAGGATTGATGGCCTAGGGCCCCGGGTTTTCAGTTCAGCATATCCCTATGACGAAAAAGGATCCTGTTTGCAGTTCTACACGGGTGTTTCTTGAGGGTGTAGTTAGGGTTTGGGCTTTCATGTGATAAGGGTTCATAGATTTTAGCACTCAGGCTTCAAGTACTCTGTAGGGTTTTTTCAATTGTAATTCTAAGCTTTTGGAGCGTCCATCAAGCATAATGGCCAAGAACAATCTTCTTCGCAGGTGTAAACATAACGTATCGCCACAACAGTAAAGGATTCGTAACGTTGATCCAGTGTCGCCAAATGCCATGTAAAACATTGGGAAGCTTTGACCCTGGCCCGAAGAAGGAGTCAAAGACCTTGGCGCACGCCGGAGTTTTGAGGTTTTGGGTTAGGTCACCGCCCGTACAGTAATAGCCTCTAAAAAGGGGGGAAACAGACCTACACCAGTCCTCGGTGGTACCCACATTGGGTAGGGGATTGACCCAAGTTTTGGGGATTAGGGTTGGTTGATGTTGTGTCTACATCTGTAGATACGGCAGGGCAACATCTTCCAGCTCCAGTGCGGCCATTTTTCGCTTCAAAACCAGGAATCTCAACCCCTGTATGGCCCAAATCTCCATGTCATGTTCCAGCTCAGCTCCATTTCATTCTCAGTTATGGTATCCCTATATCCCGCAAACTAAACCTAAGGCATTGGGGGCCCTTGACTTTCGAAAACAACGTGTCCAGGGTTTCGGGCTTGGCTCAGGGCTGTTTGGGTAGGGCTTGGGCCTTCTAACTTCTTTTGCAGTTTAGGAGTCATGGTTTGGGGCTTGGGGTGTCTTTACTAGGGTTGCCTGGGGTTGTTTGTGGTGTTCGTGGGCTTTGGGTTCAGGCTTGGGGGTACGGGATGTCGGGCGAGGCATTGTTTTGGATTGAGGGGCTGGGGTCGATTGGTTGCAGCTTAGGCTTGAAGAGGTTTTAGAGCGTAGGATTGCTGGGTTGCTGTTAAGGAACTTAATTCAAGTTACTATATTGGGGAAACCCTATTATTTACTATATATATCCATTATGGTAACTTAATTCAAGTCCCTTAACAGCAACCCAGTTTTGGGCTGGTTCAGGGGTTCCGAGGTTCGGAGGCTGGGATATTTTGTTTCAGGCTTGGGGGCCATTGAGGTTTTAGGGCTCGCTGAGGGTTCTTTGTTTGGGGCTGTTTTGAAGCTGTCAGGCTTTAAACCCTATACTCTAAACCCTAAACCCAATACCCTAAACCCTATTCGCCCTATACCCTAAACCCTATACCCTAAACCCGATATCCTAAACCCTATACCCTAAACTCTAGACCCTATACCCTAAACCTAAACCCTAGACCCCAAACCCTAAACACTATACCCGAAATCCTAGACCCTAAACTCCCTAAACCCAAGGCTTCATGGGTTCAGAGCTTGGGGATTATGTAGCGTTCGGGTGGCTTGGCTGCGGGTTTAGGGGGCTTAGGGTTTATAGTCCCCCTTAAGTAGATAGAATATGGCTTTGGGTAGACTATACCTATAAGATCCCCATATACCCCATATTCTATCTACTTCAGGGGGACTATAGGGTTTAGAGGGATTGGGGGTTGGGGTTGAGGGCTTATGGGTTAGGGGGATTGGAGTTTAGGGTTTAGGGGGATTGCATTGTCTAGCCGATAGTTCTCTGATATACATGAGCGTCAAAATACAAACAAAGATTGGCCCTTGCGACTTGCTTCTTACCGTCTCGGCACAAAGATTGCCAACAGCGCCGTTCTCTTAGTAGACCCTAAACCCTAGACCGTACACCCTTAACCCTTAACCCTAAACCACTACAACAGGAATTTCCAGCACAAAGGCCTAAAGCCCAAAAGGATCCTAAAGGCGATAATGTCGACACAAAATTAATGGACCCACTTCTTCTAAGCGCCTGAATATGAGAATCCCTATTATATAATCCCTGTAAAGGGGAGGGGGTTATAAATCACAGGTCTACATTAGCCAGAGAACCGTTGCATAGTTAGCCTGGACATATTCAACGGTGCTCGGAAACTCCTCGGCCGTAGCCCAGACCACATAATCCTTCCAGGGAATTTCGGACATGTATGGGACCACCTCCGAGATGACCACCACACCGCACAGAATGGCTGGCAGCAGTCGAAACTCTTCAACAGTGTGATGGAAGTCAGTTTGGTGAACGTTGAGCATGATGGCGGTGCTTCTGAGCATGTCGCGCAGCTTGCTGGAACCTGGAGCCCAAGCTTACGTTGGTTTAAGGTTTAGGGCTGAGGGTTTATTGTGTAATTCCAAAAGCCAAAACCCTAAATCCTAGGGGTCAAAAGGATATCAAGTAGGAAGCCAGGAACAGTCCGGGAACCCCACCATGTTGCGCACTTGGATGTTCCTCTGCTGCAAGCGCTGCAACATGTTTCGCCGCCTGGGGCGGTAGTCTTTGGCCAGAGTAACCTGGGTTGCTGTTACGGAACTTAAATTAAGTTACTATATTGGGGAAACCCTATGATTTACTATATATACCCATTATGGTAACTTAATTCAAGTCCCTTAACAGCAACCCAGTAACCTCGTTCCAAGTGGTGATGACGACAGAGGGGTCGCGGCCGTGGCGTTCCCTGTAGAGGTTGTATGGCATTGAAGGTATGTAAACCACTGATTTCAAGACTTCTGTGGGCACGGCTTGTCCTTCACGAAGAGCAGCGAGATTCGGCACAGCATACTCTATTATGATGTCTCTGGAGGCATTGCAAAAATCCTCTCTCACATAGCAACCATTTAGGCGCGTACGGTAGGCCTCGCCAGTCCCATCAATACTGCGTGCAGACAAACTTTGCCCATAAAAAGCTTTTGCAGCTTCTGCGATGTCTTGGCTGCTTGCCTGGGACGGCATGTCTTTCGTAGCACTGCTCGGTAAGACAATAAGATGTTCGAACTGAAAATGAAAGTGGACCCACATGTTCAAGCTCTCCCATTCTGGATGTAGCCGAACCAGGTCACTGAGCATCCTGTGCAGAACCTGGGGATTCCCCCGTACTAGGCGATAGAACAAAAAAGTATCTGCCCTATCACATCTTGGTATAATTAGTATAGTGGGTATAGTCTTTGCAAACTCCCACCTCCGTGTTTGGCGGAAAGTCGCCGGTGTAAAGGACATTCGTGTCACAGCGCAACTTTGTCTCGAACTGGGGCAGCACAGGTATGGTGACAGGCAAGTCGAAATCTGTCACGGCTTCTAAAGGAGCAGCAGCAGCAGCGGCTTTTACGCTTGCATCTTTACCTGTAGTCCCCTTAGACCTGTAATGAACATATCTTTTGATAATTCCTCAGGTTTATGAACCAATAAAACATACAAAATACAAATAATTTCTAAGGAGACTACAGTTACTCGCCCATCTGACCCAAGCCGCTGACAACAGCAACTGGCAAGCTGCTGCAAATGCGCAGCCGACGGACAACCAGCGACCACGGCAAGTGGCCATAAAGACTTGAAGCCAAGCAAATATCTTTGTGATTAGATTTTACGTTTTTGTCCCCAAGAGCTCCTATAGTCTGGACCTAGCAACTCTTTGTGGATATCCAAGTTTGGGCACTGACAAGACTTGATTATAGCATGCCTCAAAATGATTTGCGGAGTAGTTGCGCCGACGTAGAGACACAACAGTTCCATCCCAGGATACGATGCATGCGAAGAGCAGCACTTGCGTGCATAGCTCTGAGCAAACAACGCTACATTTGACTCACCAGGGTGTCCCTGCATCTCTCATGAACATTCATGAACAAGATTCCACTCGTCCTAGGGTTTACAAGCCGGGCTCCTGTGTTGTTCCTTTTGGGGTAGGTTATGGGGCGATAGTTGAAATATACCACAAAAATGGAAGTACATGGGAGGTTCTGGGTGGAGCTTAGGGAGCTTTCAACCCAAACGCTAGACCCGAACCCTTCCTCGTTTTATGACAGCGGAAAGGGTGAGGCAGCATGGAAAGCTTTAGGGTGGTTTGATTGTTGTGCAGCGCCCCAAACCCTATAGTCCCCTTTTTAAGTAGAATATGGCTTTGGGTATAATATAATCAGATCCCCACATACCCATATTCTAGCTACTTAAGGGGGACTATAGCTTTAAAATCTGATTGGACCCTTGCACATGAGCCAACACCCCGAACCCGAGGCCATGAACTGCTTGAGCTATAACTGTAACTACCGTCATCTTTATTGCTACTGCACATGGGTGGTTGTCAAAATTATGGTCCCTTTTTGGATCCCTATTATAGTACGGCACCTAATATTTAGGGTACCCAAAAGGGGACCATAATTTTCACAACCACCCACATGTCTGTGCCACAGCGAGTACTACAACTACTCTATTCTCAGCATTACTACGACCACAGCTTCTACTTCGGCTTCCGTTACAGCTGCTACTGCCACTCCTACTTCTACCCGTACCGGTACCCCTATTCCTCCTCCTACTCCTCCTCCTCCTCCTACCACCACCACCACCACCACCACCACTACCACAACCACCGCTATCCACTATGAGTGCAACAACCAACAACAATACAAGTATATGCACTGATCCAAGAATAGTAAGCCTTCCGCTACTAATACTAGTCCTCTTCTTCCGGTTCTTCTTTTTGTGTTGCAGCCCAGAGAAGCCTCGTCACGCATGTTCTAAGTCCAGATGAGTACATGAAAGGACGGAGCGTCGAAGCCACCAGCATCATGGGCTAAAGGCGATTCCTCACAGCAGAACTCGTGGCGTGGGTGCGCAAGCAGCAGATGTTGACGGAAACGTCCACCAGGACGCGCTTTGTGTTTTGGATTTTGCAGGCAGGGACATGCAGCTCCTCAGCAGCGTTAATGGGGGTTGGTCGCCTTGGCTTGCTCGATCCATTGGTGCATTATTCCTGAATCGTACAACTTGCCGAAGCGCCCAACATCGGGCATGTGCTTTGAGTCTTCTTCACTGCCTCAGATAAGGTAGAGTTTACGGTTTATGGTTTTCTGGTCCCCCTGCACAAGTGGACACCCCATTCCACAACGACCCAATTAATTATTGTAAGGACCACCTAATTACACACTCACCAAAACCCATGTGAGCCATAGTCTAACTCCTAGTGTCCCCACTTTAACAGCCCTGGAGTTGAGGGTTTAGGATTTAGGGCTTAGGAATTTAGAGTTTAGGGATGAACTCCAATAAACTCTTAGTATCCCACATAATAACCCCTGTAATAGCCTCCTTTACAATAAATGCCCTGTCTAGCCCTAAACCCTAAACCCTAAACCACCGAACCCCTAAACCGAAAACCCTAGGGGTAGTACGGGAACCCATGATCATGTGGACAAAGCGACCTCCCGGGCCCTGCTTAATACTGCTGCAGGAAGAGCACATGGGGGATTGTCAAAATTATGATCCCTTTTTGGGTCCCCTAAATTAGGCCCCGTATTATACTAGGGACCCAAAAAGGGACTATAATTTTGACAATCCCCCACATTCAACGAGGATTTAGGGTTTAGGGTGAAGTTACTGCTGTTTCTGACATACTCGCAGGATTGCAGGAATCCGATTTATGTGGAACCCCCAGAGCAAAGAGAACTGTTAGCCCTTAACTGCAATTCCGGGCAGCATTTTTTGAACGCAACGAGGTTCATGCCCCACTCAATGGAACAGATTTGATCATCTCCTTTGGGTTCCCTCGCTCCGTAGTGGGTACCACGAAGGACTACTGTAGATAGAAGCCCCTATTAACTCCATATGTGAGGGCTATTTACTGCAGTGGGGATTGACCTAACATCTCCTGAAGTTCCAAGGCTTTCGGCTTTAGTGTTTAAGGTTTAGAGGAATGTAATCCCTAGATAATCCCTATATAATATATTCCCTTCTTCCCTGATAACCCTAAACCCTTAACCCGTTCCTGCCTCAAAACAACAAACAGCTATAATGACCAAGACCCAGGGCCCCGGGCCCCTAAACTCCTAAACCCTAGGGTTTAAGGTTCCTACGCCGCTAAACTGTGGCCCTCACACCCTTCAACTGACACCCCTAAACCCGTGCTGTGGCGGTGTTCATTCTCTTGCCCCGCTCCTGGCATGATGGTCAGCTCAGGAGCACCAATCTGGCGGTGATTCAGGACATCTATAAACCTGGTTCACGGTTTAGGGTTTAGGGTTTGGGGTTAGGAGTTGAGGGTTTAGGGTTAAACCTAAAACACAACCCAACAGGACTCTGCTTGGGGAATAGGATTCATGTTATGGGGATTGGGAGTCAGAATTTAGAGGTTCGGAATTTTAGATTAGGAGAGCTTAGGGATTAGGATTTGGGGTCAAGGAATTGGGATTGGTGTCTAGGAATTACGGCTTAGCAAGTAAGATTCAGAGTTCAGGGTGTAGCACTGCCTGAAACACATACCACAGAACATTACAATAGCTCTTGTCGACTTACATGGCCCAAGCGGCGACCGCACCAAACTCAACAGCCCTAAACCCTTAGCCCTGAACCCTGAAACCCCTGTTCTTTCTACGACTGATGGTCAAAAACCCGAATGACCCAAAGTACCTGATACCTCTTGGGAGTGATATTTCAGTATGCTACCCTAAGCCCTAAATCCTAAACCCTACACCCGAAGCCCTAAACCCTAAACGCAATGTTCTAGTATACCAAAGGCATGCAGGGTTTGCAGCATCAACTGTAGCACCCCAAAACGCTGAGATCATCCGCAGCCAGCGAAAACAAGTAACCCTACCGTCATACCTACGCTGGCTGGGTTTGAGGTTTAGGGTTTAGGCGTTTACGATTTAGGGTTTAGGGTTTAGGGCCTGTGTCCTCCTGGGTTTAGGGTTTGGGCTTTAGGGTTCAGGGCAAGAGGATGTAGGCTCTGAGTTAAAGGGCTATGGAGCTTACTGTTCAGGATTTACTGCGTGGGCTGTGAGAGTAGTAACCCTAAACCCTAAACCCTAAACTCCTACGACTAAGAGATTCTAAGTGCCTCTCAGCAGCTGCTTAAACTTTGCCACAGCACTGTGCTCGGGGCCAGCTGCAATGCCTTTCCCGACCATGTTGTACCCATAAAAAACTGTCCCGTCTTTCCAATAGTTGGTCTGCAAATCTTCAACGACATACAAACCACCAGGTTCAACAGATGACCAAAGCGAAAAGAAGTTGAAGATCATGTGAGGTGGATAATGTGATCCATCCTCTATGATTATGTCCCATGGGCCTTTTCCTCTCAGCATCTGCATGGTCTCGTTCTTGGACTGATCACCCCAAAACACAACAACTTTGTCCCAAGATTTCGAATTGTTCGCCACCCTGTCAGTTCTATCACCATATGCCAGCCCAGCTATGATAGCAGCATCAGTGAAATATCTGCTCCAGGCATGCAATGATTTGCCTTGTTGAGCTCCGATCTCCAAGATTTTCAAACCAGCTTTATGCTGAAAAGGCGCAAACCACCTGGTTGCTGGACTTCTCTTCCCAAAATTCGGGTGTTTCCCAAAATTAAGGGTACGTTTTGGGGTCCCCATAATGAGGACTATAATATTTTGGGTCTATGTTGGGGTTCCCCTCTGTGGGGAACCTACCATAAGGACTACTCACGAAAATTCTACGCTTCGCACCCAGCCACTTAGCTAGATTCGTGGAACGGTCCCAAACAACCAAAAATCCTAAACCCTTAAACCCCTAGATTTGTGGAAGACTTCCCACCTCTCGTAGTAGCGGTGGTAGTTGTGCACCCCGGGTCCTTTATCCGTACCGGTGCCGTCCATGGCCTCCATTACACTCAGCGCCTTGTCGGCTCGATGACCTTGGTTCGGTTTTGGTGTGTAGCCCTGGGGCTCCATGTCTACAAATAGTACCTACATTGGGCCCCAATGTCTATACATAGTACCTACATTGAGCTATTTGGAGCCCTAGGGTAGTTCACAATTGATGTAGCGTTTAGAGTTTGTAGCGGATTTGAGGTTCCGATGGGGTTTAGAGTTTATGCTGGGTTTAGGGCTTACTTAGGGTTTGGGGTCTATAGCAGTTCAGGTGTTAGGGTTTATGAAGGGTTTGCGGTGATAGAGGGTTCTGGGTTTAGGGTTCATACAGGGTTGAGAGTTTTTACGCGTGTTCAGGGTCTAGGGTTTGTGATAGATTTCAGGTTTGTTTTGGGTTGAATTTCTTTAACCTGAACTGTTCTCGAGTGACTAGCATCAATCACAGCCCAGTGGCTATGTTGCAAAACGCTTCCTGAGAATCCGTTCAGAATTTGTCCCTCAGCCTCTAGCAGAAGACGAACAAGGCGCTGCCGGACTGGAGAACTCAGTCTGCGCATGGAGGCGGCAACAACCTCATCCGATTCTCTGATATCAATGAGGGAGCCATGTTCACTGATGCAAGCCGTATTCGACATCTGCACCTGAACGTCGAGTAGGGAGGCCATGAGAGTGGGGCCCCCGCAGAACTACAATGGTCATGATACATCAAATACATACGTCATACTTGCGTACGTTAACTATGACCTTTGACTGTTCCTTGTCATTCCATACGAGATTCTTAGACTATTTCCTTCGCTAGTCCCTGAGGAGAAACCCTGTGATCCCCCTGAACATCTCCAATCCCTCTTTAGAGCTTAGGGTTAGGGTCTGCATGGAAAACCCCAAGCTCTGAAATCACCCCGTCTTCGCTCCCCCAAACAAACAGGGAGGCTGATATGTTAGCCCTGGGGATTTTATCATTTCCTTTCAAACTTGGGTTGCACTTGCGGAACGTAGCCTAAGTTAAGGTACTTAAGAAACCATAGGCTTTCACACATACCTACCCAACACATGTTGACTCCATCTGCGTTCCTTACCAGCAACCCCGGAAATCCTCCCAGGCACCTGCTGCAGGGACACCAAGGCGATGGCAAAGAAGCCCGCAAGGGCTAAGACTTTCCAGGAGAGGCGCGGGCACATGGCTATCCAAGATGGAAAGCAACATACAGGCTTTATGAAGTAGTTCAGGGTTAAGAGTTTAAGGTTGTTTTTGTGGGACCATTTCTCCCCAGCATAGAGTTTAAGGTTTAGAGTTTAGGGCGTTATAGGGGAGTATTCTAGGGGTTACTAGGGGGGATACTAGGACTTTATGGCTATATAATCCCTACATAATCCCTATAATTTTGTATAGTTCCCATTTTCTTTTCCATGATCCCTATATAACCCCATTATATTCCCTATATGCTGCTTTCCTTTTCGAGATTTCCAGGGAGGAGGCTTCGGGGGCTAAACCCACAGGGTCAAGAGTTCTGGGTATGAGGCTTTAGGCTGTAGGGTTTAGGGTTTAGGCTAAACCCCTCAGGGTCGAATTCCTACCCATAAATCCTCAACCGTTAGGGTTTAGGGTGTAGGGTTTTGATCATAAGCTGCAACCCTAACCCTGTAGGGTTTAGCGTGTAGGGCTTTAATCCAAAACCTTCACCCTAAACCTTAAACCTTAAACCCTAAACCCTAAACCCTAAACCTTCACCCTAAACCTTAAACCCTCAAAGGTCTAGGCTTCACATACCAGAGTTGAGGTTTGTAGAGCTCGGAGGGTTGAGGGTGTTCCTGCCAAATGGGAGTCCCTGCCAAAAGAATGATAAAATGGGGAATAAGGGAATAGATTGAATACATTATATAGGGATTACAATCCCTTTTCCCTACTAATCACCAGAAAGAATAAGGACTATGATATTTGGAGTCAAAATTTGCCACTAAATTCTCAGAGGCGGGCCCAATTGTCCTCAAGGCTTCAGGATTTTGGGGGTAAAACGCGTGCGCTTCCGGAGGCCATGATACTCTCCAGAAATAGGGTTTAGGGTTTGGTTAGCTACTTGTCCGATACACCCTAAACCTCAAGCCCATATAAACTTACCATTACTTAGGGTCCCCAATTTTCCTTAATTTCTAAAATTTCAAAATCAAAATAACCACCCCCAAACCCTGAGTAATGTAATGAACAGAAAAACAATTTAGACAGAATATCATCAGCTTTTGGATTTGCAGTAGTCGGGGCAAGTTTGCTTGCTTAGGGGCAGCCGATGTAATGCTCTGATGATGTCGTAGCCACATGGAAGTAACATTATTACTATTACCGGTATTAATACTACTATTACTACTATGACTATCATGACTTTTCTTGCCATTATTACTAGTACCTACTAATATTGCTATTATTGTCATTACTACCATAATTACTATTATTACTCTTATTACTATTA